CCCTCTTGTGTCTCCTTCTACTCCCTCCCCTCTTCCCTCCCCTCCTCCCTCCCCCTTTCCCTCCCCTCCTTCCTCCCCTCTTCCCTTCCCTCCTCTCTCCCTTCCTCCTTCCCCTCCTCCCTCCCATCCTGCCTCCTTCTTCCCTCCCTCCCTCCCTCCCTCCCTCCCTTCCTTCCTTCCTTCCTTCCTTCCTTCCTTCTTCCGCTCTTTCCTTCCTCCCCACCCCTGCAAATGGCTGAGTACTCAGTGCCTGCCAGGAGCAAAGGAGCCTGGGGTAGGACGTCCAAGGCTGTGGGAAGCTGAGACCAAGTTCAAGCTGTGCTCTCACCAAAGTCCAGCATAGAAGAGAGTGGAGTAGAGACCCTGCTGGGCCGAGCCCACAGGAGCCCCCACAGGGACTCCCAGGGCAGGCTCCACTGCCAGGGGACACCAGACATGACCGTACTACTGGAAAGGAGGAGAGGGGGCCAGAGAGCATAGGAAGGTTGCGAGGTCGCAGACCACCTGTCCTGCCACTCACAGGCTGACGGCTGAGCACGAAGAGCCCTGTGTCCCAGCCTCCATAGGTGACGCACAGGTGGGCAGTAAGGATCTGAAGCCTTAGGGACAGAGAGAGTATGGCAGTGAGTGGACACTAGGCAGTGACCAGCAGCTGCAGTGGAGGTGCCTGCCCAGAGAGGCTGAGGACCCTGCTCCCTCAGCAGGCTGCCGTCGTCGTGGCTGAAGGGCAGTTCGTCTCATTCGGGAGGGCAGAGATGCAGCCCCACGGGGGCGGGGGAGGCCTGGCCCTCTCTCTGGGTGTGCAAATGTGTGGCTTCAGGTTGGAAATGGGGAAAGTTTAAGAAGACTATGTACTTTCCCTAAGCAATGTCTACATGGAAGCCTTGTGAGACACTGTACAACTCTGAACACACACACACACACACACACACACACACACACACACACACAGTTATTTCCTACAAGTTTTTCTTTCTTTCTTCTTTTTTTCTTGAATACTGGGGGTCACACCCAGTGCCTTCACCCTGAGCTGCATCTCCAGGCACTTCTTTTTTGAGACAGGATCTCTCTCGCTACATCACTAAATTGCCCAGGCTGGGCTCAAATTTGTGATCCTCCTGTTTCAACCTCCCAGAGTGCGGTGCGGTGATTACAGGCAAGAGCTACCATACCCAGCTTAGCACTTTCAATGGTGCATAAAACAATTTTTTAAAAGGAAGTATCCCCCATAATGAAATATCCCCCATAAGCAGATCAGTCACAGAAATTGTGCCGCTGCAGAGAATGAGGCATCCATAACCTCCCGTGCACGCAGCACTGGGGAGGGGGCGGAGAAACAGGCAAGTCCAGGGCAGTGTTTCTGCCCTGTCCCAGAAGAGGCCTGGCAGGGCCCTGGGGACTGGGGTGCAAGCAGCTGGGATCCAGACGAGCGACATGGAGAGAAACTCCTGGGAATAGGAAACGCGAAACAACGTATGTGTCCTATTGTGGTTAAAATAAAAAATCAGTATGCCTTCAAGGTCCAGGGAACGGATTACTGGAGGCCGAGTTTGTGGTAGATCCCCTCTGTGGTGGGTAACCAACCCATGACACCCAGCTGACCTGAGCCAGCAGGTGCTGGGCATGGAGGGCCCACCTGAGGGTTGTCATCAACAGCATAAAAGGAGAAATGTCATGTGCTGTCGATTCTCCTGGAGAAGCTGGTCACGCTGGTTTTCCTGATATGAACTTGGCTGTTCTCATCAGAGGAGCTCGAGTCCTTGCTGCTGCCGAGGATGGCTGTGGCTCTTTTCAGGGGAGCTCGGGTCCTCACCTTGAGCGTTGCTTCCTGGCTGGGGCGCAGAACCCTCGGCTGCTGGCACAGATCCTTCATCCCCCTGGCACAGACTTTCTAGCTTCCACCGCTGATCTTTGTGCCTTCCCAGTGTGGATCCCACTGTCCAAATCCCAGTGAAGTACAGGCCTGCAGAAGGCGTGGTCATGGGCTCTAGGCCTCCAGCTGGACTCGTGCAGGACACTGCCACAGGAGCCAGGCCCCCCTGGATTCTTTGGGTCTCTAGTGCATGGACAGATCTCTTGCACTCTTCTGCATTTGACTCTGTGGGTGAATATTATAAAGTACTCCTAGAAATTATGTCCTGTGTTAAGTTTATTCCCTTGCCAGCCCTGACTATAGCACCCTCCTTACGTTTTACATAAACTACGGCGTTCTGTGTGTGGTGAGCATGACTCACTCTTGCAATCAGAGCAAAGAAAGCCTACGCTTTAAAACCATCAGTCAGTAAATTGATAGATTAAAACCAACAAACAAAAAAGTTTGTGGCTCTAAGCTAAAAGTCACACTTTAAATTACACATGAGAGCATGTTTGCCAGGTCACAGCACCATCATTTCTGAAGAGCTGTCTCAGCAGGGCTAGCCAGCAGGGCCTCTAGGCCGATGCACCAGCCTACAGCTTGGAGCCTCTAGGATCCCTCCATGCTGCGCCACCCCCACCCGCCCCACCTGCACCCCAGCCCCCGGGCACAGGGAGCACATGCCTGGCTGTCCACACAGGCCCTGCCCACTTCACCCACCTGTCTTTTTTTTTTTTTAATGTATTTAATACAGGGTCTGCAGGGTCTCGCTACACAGATTGGACTTGCAGAGGTCCTTCCTGTTTTTCAGCCTCCCAAATGCTGGGATTACAGGCACCCACACCACCATGCCCAGGCTCATTCTCCACCTCAGCGTGCCCCAGAGGTGGGGCTGGCACAGCAGACTGGCAGACGGGATCGAACTCCTGGCCCCTGCGTCTGCCTAACCAGGCACTTTAATCTGCTAGCTATCGGGCCGGCCCTACCACCCATGTCTTGAGGTGCCCTCACCCCAGCATTCTGGCCACCTGGCAGCCCAGACTTTTTGCCACAGGGCTGTGCCAGGTTGGTGTCCTCATCCTGCCTCCAAGGGGCAGTGTCTCCTGTCCCCTCCCAACCCACTTCAGGCAGGACCATGAAAATATTTCTCTTCTCCGAGTCCACGCCAACCACTGAGCCCCAAGCTGTGCTGCTCTGGGGCGGGAGGAGGTAGTGGAACCAGCCCCCCAGGATTCCCCCACATGACGGCACCCTGACCAGTCTGGGAAGACTGGCAGCACAGCAAGGCGTCTGCACAGAGATCCAGCTGCTACTGCCGGCCAGGGCGTCACCTCTGACCACATGAGGCTTTGCAGGGACATCTAGACACAGCCCTATTAGAGCAATGGCTAGGGATTGGACCCATTAAAACCTGGAGCCAAAGAAAGCCCAAGTCCTCAGAGGTGGAGGAGTTGGGTGTTTCCTTTCATCAGCAGCGAACCTCACGCCCAGCCTGGGCTGGGGTGCTATGGCATGCTCTCCCACTGCCTTCACATTCCCCCGAGGCAGCTCCCTGCAGGCAGCCCCACAGCCCAGGGCCAGGATGGGCAAGGGCAGCAGGGCACCAGGGGCAGCTCCTGGGGGCCTGATGGCCTCCTGCAGCAGCACTCAGAGCCTCGAGGGTTGGGGAGCCAGAGCCCTCTCCCCGTCTGTCACAGAGATGGTGCAGACTCAGCCTCCGAAGTGCGGACTTGCCCCAGCCTTGGATCCTCCACCCTCCCGCCGGCTCCTCCGTCCTCCGAGTTCACAGCACTTCCCTCCCTACAGCAGAGACCCGCGACTCCTTGCATGTTGTTCCCACGCTGGCCAACAGGACAGCGCTGTGACCGACATTAACAACACACGTGGTGGACATCCGCTCGGCCGGGACTGTGCTCCCGCGTGCACTAACTCGCTCCTTGCCCGGCCCCAAGGCCAGCCCTACGGAGGGCCCGCAGGCTGTTCTGGTACCAGGGGCGACACCGCAGCTTGAGTTTGTAGGTCTGTGTGTGCGAGGAACGATACATTAGAAGGAAGCAGCAGCAACGTTTAATCAGACGACAGCATTTTGGGTTGCATGCCTGTCCAGTACAAACTGCCCAGCAACCACGGTAGCACGTGTCCCTACTCCCAGAGTCGGGGAAGATGAGGCAGTAGAATTGCCACAAATTCAAAGCCAGCCTGGAATCCACAGCAAGACCTGTCTCGAAATAAACAAGCGGAGCAAAGAAATGTTATTATCTGTTTCGAGGCCAGCAATCCGAAAGTGTGCGGCAGGTTGGCTCCCTGCGGATTCCCAGACGGAACAGGCGCCCTGCCCTGCCGGGCCTCCCGGGCTTGCGCGCACTGCAGCCGCCTCCACCCCGGTGCCCGCACTCGCCCGACGCCCGGCCCTCCTGGGGCCACGCTGCGCCTAGGTCGGCCGCAGGTGGGGTCCTGCTACGTGCAGGGCTGCGGCCTCAGGACCGACGAGGAGACCCCGTGAGACCCGCAGGGCACCGGCCGCAGGCGCCCCCGCGGGCACGGCCGCCGGCACAGCTGCAGCGGACGCCGGCGGGCGCCACCCTCGGACCCGCCTCCACCCAAGCGTGCGAGCGGTTCATTTTTCGGGGCTCGTGCACCGGCGCCGTCACCGTCGCCCTCCGGCCA